AAAAACATAACAAGATGTTGAATTTTTGTCTGGGTTGCTCTGCCGCCCCTGGGCAAAGTGTCTAACCTTTTTGTAGGGTGAATGGCAAAGCCAGTTGTTTCACAAAGGTCCTTTTGGGGTGATTCGGTCACACCAACGACCAGCCATGTCTACCACAAAAAGCAAAACTGCTTAGGCCCCAGCTGAAGCATGCCAAGAGGAAATGAGTCACAATCAAACCCGGTATTAAAATGGTCGACCCAGAAAAATGTAAAGAATTCAGAAGGCGGCCGCAGCTACTTAGCTATTTATGGGAGGGATTATCCCTTACTAACCTTCATCTACCCGGGTTTTGATTGTGGCTCAAATGGGCATTACTTTGGCGGACATCGTTTGGATGGGGATTGATGCCGACCAACCATGGAGGGCTGGTAAACAATGAGCAACGCAATGTGAGCAACGCCCTAGACCCATTGACCTCTTCTTCCACCAACGTGGTTGTACAGCTTTGTAGGAGCGTTTCTCCTCTAGGTCCTCCAGTAGAGATTGTGAGGTTACGGGGGGTTTGTGCCAATTTTCGTGTTCAATCCGTTGTTTGCCACCCTTTTGGCTGTGGTCTATTTTAGTAGGGGAACCCTCCCAACCAAAAAAGGGGTGAGACGGGGCACCTAGCTGGGGGACCTAGTCCTTGTCAGACCTAGTGAAACCTGGTGGTAAAATGGCGGGGACGTTTTGGGCGCTTGGAGCCTAGAGAAAAATGAAGGTCTTTGACCACACGACCTCAAAATAATTTTGGTCTTGGGACCCTGGGGTCATTTTTCCCCCACGATCCTTGGTTGCGAAATCTGCTCCCCTGCTCAAAGTTTAGCATTTAGTGGCTTAATGGAAAACCATTTGTTGGCAAAAAAGCTAAAGTCCTAACATCCAAGCTAAATGCGCCAAAGATATGGTCTTGGGACCCTGGCAACATTTTTTCCCACCATCGATGCATCCACATGTGGCGCCAAAAAAGGCTGGCTCCAGAGAATCACGCCCATCGTTTAGGGCTTTCCTCCGACGGATCCGACTAGCTTCATGGCGTGAAAATGGCGGAAACGAAAAGATCGTATGGCATGGCCCTAGGTGTCACAAACCAATGCGGGGCCCCGTTCCATGTTCATCTTGGTGGAAGGGGAAACCAAACAAAAACAAAAACCATTCCCCCTTAGTTGGGTTTGTCTTGCTGTAAAAGGAAAACCAAACAAAACAAAAACAAATCCCCCTTACTTGGGGTTTGTCTCACATGGCGGGCCTCCGAAACCCGAAACTGGTGGGCTGTTTTGTTGGTGTGCCTCCTAAGGACACCTAAGGACACGCCCCACCTTGACACATACTGTTCACCCAGGATTAATAGACCCGTCCCATTATTAGGGGGGTGTTCCCTCCAAAAGTGATGAATCCCCACTAAAAGAGGACCCTATTAATCAACCAGGGGCTTATTCATCCGGGGTGAAGATTCACCAACTCCTTGGGTTTCCCGCACCCCGTCAGCGCCAGGCGATTTGTTCGCAGATGGGTGAGAAGGCGACATGACAGTGTCGCCAGCGGCTTTGCAGCTGTGCCCCCCCAACACAAAATCGGAGTCGAAGCGAACTTGCTGGTGAACGAATTCAGGGGGTTTGGGGGGGGGCTCCACAAGTGGTCCGAACCCCTCTAAAACCCAAAATCAGCCCCCCCCCCCCCCCCGCCCCGCAATATTAATAAATAGGGGTTTATTCTTGATTGGTTGACATTAGCAGAGACTGGGTTATCTATATTTCTGTCCAATCCTTGACATGTGGGGCCAAAAACAGTGTGTTCTTCAGCAACCACTAAACTTGAGCCACTGAAAGGACAAAGACAAAAGCAAACACAAGTGCCAAGAACAGTGAAGACTTCCACTTACAACACAGGAGCAGGCTTGAATCATGAGCCGGAATACAATTGATATCATGCAGTGCGTTCTCGCAAGTGATACTGGGAAAACAAATGCATTCCCTTTCACACTACCCTCCCACTAACTATGCAAAAAGGCCCTTTCCAAGAGGAAAGTCGTCTTTCTACAGGGGTCTGTGCACTTCTTAGCTGGTGGGAGGGTCTCCGTTTGAGGGTTGGACCAAGCCATTTGTTTGCAAGAGGTCGTTTAGGGACAAGGGGTCACAGTCCACCGATCGCGTCTTGCAAAGCCACGGACAGATCGAATGGTCGCGCAAGCCCAGTGCCAAGAACCAGAGATCGGGTCGGTTTTTATGGCTTCCCCAGAAGTGGATCAACTCACCGGCGACTTCCGGCGAGAAACTCTCACGAAATGGAGGCTCCGAAAAGGGAAATGGACACCCTGGATGTGCCCAATGACATGTGAGCCGTTCCTTCTGCAAAGCGACCTGGGCATCTGTCGGCGCCACCAGCCGATCGTATGCCAGAACGAGCCGCGGATGAAGTTGCGCCGAGATTTCCGTTTCGGAGTGACGAAACGGCCGGACCCGTCACTTGCCCAAATTTGTCTGTCTCGAAATAACACATCCCTTAAGCGCGCTTCTTGGCTAAAATATGTTGCCGTGTCCGAACTCTGGACCAAACAATAATGTGTTCTGAGTTTGCTTCATGTAAAATCATATTCGGGCCCCTATGGTGGACATCAGAATTCTGCGGGGATTCCTATCCATGTTGTTTATGCTGACCAAGTTACTAAGTTACTTGTTCTGTTTTCTGGAGACCCAAGTTCAGGCACCAAAGGAACAGACCCCCACCCTACACACTCGAAAGCTTCCCAGGGCTCGTTGCCCCCCACGAGTGTTTTTTGCAGGTCCCCAAAAAGGGGGCGCCAATCGGGCGCTGGTGCTCTGTAGGGAACCACCCAGATTTTGGAAATGAACCGTTTGGGTCTTAAAGGAAACCATAGGCCATGGTTTGTAGTGGTCATCTTCTCACGAGAACCAGCAAGACAGCTCGAGGCGCAAACTGGTTTGTGCGAACCTCTCGGATTTCTTCTCCGATGGGATGATAGACATGTATCTAGGGGGTGATTCCAACCCCCATGATTCTCAACCAGCGTTCTTTTCCGAAACCAGCTGAATTCCCGAAAACGGTTGTGCGGGTTTCCTGAAAAAAAAGGATCGCTGGACAGAATGGGCCGAAGCTTCCCCTAGAAGATTTGAGACCCCGAAGAAAAGCAAGTGTGTACGGCTTCAGGCCGGGCCGCAGCATACCAAGCCCCTGTGGGTGTCTACATCATCAGGATCCTTACATTATACACCTGAACATTGCAACTTGTACATGGCGGTTTCAAACCCTTTATTTTGGTGTTGAAAAAGCCACATGTTTCAAATGGTTGCAAAATGAATTTCTTTTAAGGAGCCCTGATCATTCAACTGTCATGCGATTCGTCGATTCGGTTTTTAGTCCGGTTGCCCACGAAAGGACGTGGATTCTGATTTCTAGTGCTTCCCTCCGGTTAGCCACTATATCAGGTAACCGATCGGTAAATTCACCGTCACTTGCTCAAAACCGATCGCTACAAAAATGGTCGATGCCCAGAACCATGCTTCAAGAATTGGAAAGGCGGATTTCCGCAACTATTTCCGGCTGGGACTGCCCCTTAACCTTCATCTACCCGAGTTTTGCTTGTGGCTCACCTTTTGGTTTTACCATGGATGGTTTCCCCTGGTTGCCTACATGTACTATGACGGCTTGCCTGGATGGGGCAGGGAACCAGCCATCGTCCTTTGGTTTTTGAAAGTCAGCTCTCTTGATAATACCAACTGCAGGAAATGGAATCCCTGGCAGCAACAGGCAAGGCGACCCATGGCCAGCTGGTGGGTTATTTGAAAGTTACTTGCAGACGCACCGAATCGATCGATCAAGGAATCAGGTTGAAAACACCCTTTGAACACCTACCTATCTAGAAACCGTTTTGGATGCGCCTTTTGTGGATTTCACCTGTTCTTCCACCTGCTGGTCCTTTTTTTTAGTACTCTTTCAGTACTCTTTTAACCTTCTACAGGGAAAGAACCGCAGATTCCCCACCTCCAACCCCGTTTTCTCGAACCTCTATGGGGAATCGACCCCCGAGAGTTCCACGTCTCGCATGGCCCTAAGAAAGGCGAGGCGAGACGGCCTTTGGGTGTGGAGCTCGGTGAGTCACTTGCTCAAAACCCGAGTCGGTACAAAATTTTTGGTCGTGATCCCCAGAACCGATTTGCTTCAAGAATTTTCGGAAGGCGGAGATTCCCGCAGCTATGTTGTTTGGTTGGGATGGTCCCTTACAAACCGGATCATCTAGCCAGGGTTTGATTGTGGCTCAGGTGGTGTCTTGGCTCCAGGGTCATGGGGCAACCCCAAAATTGAACACTAAGTGGAAACTGATGAGCATTGCGAGAAAAGGCTGGTGTGTCCCTGAAAAAAAAAGAGTGATTTGAGAACCACCCTTCTCGAAACTTGCTCTCAGTACCGTTGACCAGTGTTTGGTATCCTGGAAATACAGGCCATCCAATTGGGAACCTGGGACAAAACTGGAATCCAGACTACTAGACCGAGACCTGCAAGGCGCCAAGACTGAATCCCAGTTACCTGCATGGCAAATGGCTGTGGCTCAAAAAACCGGTACCCAAATCAACCCCGGTAAGTGGAAACATGGACCAAAACCTGAGCAACCCCTCCTGGTTAATTTTGAGCCACACCCAAATAACGGCCCCCATCCCTTTCTTGGACCAAGTTCGGTTCCCAAAGCTCTACTCCTTCCATGGGTTTTCAGCCTTTCTGTTGTTCGAGCCAGCGGTCAGTTGCCACGGGACATCACCAAGCCGCCGCTGGAATCACTGCGTGTCATATGTTGCTTGAACATGAAGGAAACGCAAAATGGCAAAAGCTTGAAAAGGAAAGCCAAGTCTCAGGTCGAATCGATTTGGGCAAGCTTCGGCACAAATCTATCCCGCAGACCCCCAGCCAAGAAAAGAAGATTCGGAACAAAGGGCCGCCACTGGGCTTTTTATAGATGATCTTCGAGGGAAAGCTCCAAAGGAAAGGAATTAAAGGAAGGAACTCACTGGGTGTCTGGGGCTTTTGAAAGAAGTGCGCTCGCCGCTTGTTGCGCTCAAGCGGCAACCCGCAGCGGCTGCAGCGGGATATTCCCCAAGCCGCATCTGCTTCCTGCGCTTCGTCGTGGGAGCGGATCCCATTTGGTTTGCTACCCCAGTGCGAAAAAGTTACCACACGAGTCGATAGTGGCTTACCTCGAAAGCGGCGACCTTGTTTGTGGGTTCAAGGCAGTACAAAGGGGTCGACAAGTGACAAGAGGGGTTCAGTATGTCCATGATACTGAACTCCTTTGGCAAATCACCCGCAAAAAAACCGGGACGACCCCCCCTTTGTGGCTCTGCGATAGAGCTAGGAACTGGCACCCAGAATCACAAGAAAAAGGACACCCAGGGGAAACTATCATCTAAAATCGAGACTGAAAACTCATGGTTGGTAGCACTGGCTTTGTTTCTGCCTTGTGCCAATTGTGGCTGATTTCGGCCTAACAAGTCTATGAGAGCTTCACAGATCGCTGGCTTTGACGGCAAATGTCCGACCCCCTGTGAAAGCTTCCAGCACCTTTTGGGCCCTTCGCGTGCTTCCAGTTGCTACTTGTGAGGGGCACCAGCTAAAGCCTGGTAAAACCGATGCGTTACCTACGAGAGCGACACGCCTGGAAGCACGGAAAGGTTGAAGAAGGAACAATCAAACGTTGGGGTCGGGGTCGGGCTCTTGTTGATTTCGAATCTCCAACACATGTGATCACTTTCGAGCGTCCCTTGATACCTTCTGAGAAGCCATTTGCTAGTGGGATTGTGTTTGGCTCGTGTGCCCCATCGCCTTTGCTGCAGAAGAGAACAGTGAACATCTGTACTTACTGGGTCGAAAAGGAGGCGTTTGGTGCGTCTTCATCGCGTATGAAGGGAACCAAAGGGTTCGGGGGAATCCCTTTTGTTGATAAGTTCGTCTTCAAAGGACGACTCTGCACCCCACTCCAAATACTAAATGTTGCGGTACACCATCCGAAACAGTTCAAAAAGTCTGCAGCCTGACCCCGATTGCCTCAGCGCTGGCACGGCTGAAGTGGAGCCCAACGGATTAATTCCTTTTTGCTGGAGAAACGGAACCAGTCGACAAGGGCCAAGTGCGATAGGTCCTCCAGATTTGAGAGGTTAGAATAAGGGTACCGTTTCTTTTTTCTGTAGTCTATTTAGACACGGGGAACCCTCCCCCCAAAAAAGGGTTGAACAGGGATCCTTACATTATACACCTTGTAAATGGTGGGTTCCCTTTATTTTGTTGAAAAAGCAACATGTTTCAAATGGTTCCAAAATGAATTTCTTTTCGGGAGCCCTGTTCAAGGGGCCCCTAGCTGGGGGACCCTGACGCTGAAATACATCCTAGAGCCTCGGTGGCCATGAGGTTGGTTTCTAGCGGGAACTTGTTCGAAGCCTCGAGCGGCAAGAAAGGAAGCAACCCACAAGCAGCGTCTCGGCCTCATTTGGCTGCCTGGTAAAAAGAAACATGGACCAAAAGCTGCGGTTTGCCCCCCCCGTTTAATTTAGAGCCACACCCAATTCAAATCAGACAACTTGTTTTTTTTGCAGAAGCGCATGTCAAATTTTCAGACCTACCCGTTCTCACCCGGTATGTAATCCCAACTGGGCTTTCTGGAACCTACAACTTGCTTTGGGCGAGCTCGTTTTTTACTACCCCCCCTAGGCGAGCACGAGATTTGCGAACAACTGAACGCGGACCTGCAACCTAATGGCTTTGGTCACAATTTCGAATAAGCATAATGAACAACCACTTCCTAAGCACCCTGCCCGGTCCAAGCAGTGAGCCCCTGGTTTTTGTGGAAATAGATGAACCGCAGATGAGCCATGGTGCGTGTTTTATGGGAACTAGGTGCTGCTGCTGTGCTATCTGCGGCTTTGCAGATCCACCCTCTTTGAATTCCCCCGACCCCCCAGGGTCCTGATGTCAGCCCACGTACTCCGACATCTGGCGACGGCGGATGTTTCCGCTTTGGGTGCTGTGGCGCTGTGCGTTCGGATATGGAAGTCGTGCCAAGTTGTTGCAGCGCAAAATGTTGGACAGGTGTCGCAAAATAGGGGATGACAACTGTCATGGCACCTCGCAGAGTAGCCCTTGAATCCTTGAAATTGATCTTCCAGGTGCCCTCCCACCAATGCCTTCCGTTTGTGGAAGGAAGAGTATACTTTAACATACTGTGGATCGACGAAATCCATTTCGCAACACCTAAGAAAGCCTGGAATGCTTCGATTGCCCCTGTAAATACCAACGAACCATGAGTTTCGCGTGGTTTCATTTCGTGGTGCGAACGGACTTCGCAACCATCCTCAGTAGGTTAGGTGTTTTCTTTGGTTTCCCTTGGTTTCCAACCCCAAGGGCACCACAAAATCACACCCCCAGCGTCCCAGGCCGTGCTTCTCCTCGGAATGTTCAAAGTCTTCCTCGAATTGTTAGTCCTGTTTGGAGTGCGTGCCCCGCAAAAAGGGCTGGGTTTGAAGGGGCACCTTGACTTGGATGCTGTTGACCCCTCTGCAAAAAGTTTCACTTTTTGTGGGTTTAATGGAAAACCCCTTGATTTCCGAAAAAGTTAAAGTCTAAGGATCCAACCCAATAGCAATCAAGTTGAAAGGAAACCATCCTCACGGATTTGCAGGCTACCACTTACTTTCAGAAGCCAACTCAGCCGGCCGCACCAACAAACTGGGGCTGTCCCCCAAAGCTTGACCACTGAGCTCCCTTCGCCCGAACGAGCAAAAGCTCGAGTCTGGCCTTGTGTAGGCTCAGTCCGGAAAAGCTCCCGGATTTGGGTAAGTCTCTTTTTTTTTCCGGCGACCAGCTGAGAGAGCCAAACTCGAGCCCGACTTGACCAATCCCTGCCTTACCCGACGTGGGAGAAGGGAGCTTTGGGGAGGGCTCCCGAAGATCGCAGGCCATGTCCTAGATGGCAAACAGATGGGCTTCCCTGGTAGACCAGTGGCTGTGGCTCAAAATTAAACACGAGGGGCAAACCGCGGGGTTTGGCCCATGTTTCCACTTATCAGGGTTTTATTTTGGTACCGGTTTTTTGAGCCACGGACAAGTAAAAACCGCCAGGTAAACCAGGGAGCGCCGACACCATGGACACCGAAAGAAACAGGCATGGCGCTTCTTTGAGGGGCAAAAGCTGTGCTTTTTGGCAGGGCGGCCAAAAAAACAGGCACACTAGAGGGGCTCCCAAAAACTGTGCAGTTTGTCTTCCCCATAGCCTGCATAACCTGGTGGAGAACCAATTCAAGCTTTAAAAAAATGAGCTTCTTTATATTCAGACATATGAATTGCCATCGTTTTACTTTCGTGTCCATATACATTTTGGCATGGAGCTTCCAAAAGAAACGCGCATGGCGCTTCTTGCGGGGAGGAGCGGCTCAGGCATGGGCTTGGTGACACAAAGAGGCAGGCTCTGCGTTTGGGGGAGAAGAGCTCCCCAAACAACACGACAGGCGTCAATCATGACGGTGAGTTGGTCTACGAAGGGCAAGGGGGGCCAGCAGGCATGCTAGACGGGCTCACAAAAATCTGAGCCTTCGGGGAGTCAGGACGTTTCCATCCCCACGATGCTGGGAATGCAGGGGATGCGAACCCTGCATCACCAGCATCATCAGTATTGAAATTGATCGGTGAAAAATCAAAAAAATCAAACCTTCCCCCCAACAGAATCTGGATTTTGGCGCAACAAACTCGAGCTGATGGCTCTCGTGAAAATGGACTTGGTGTCTCCTCGTGTTTCTTCTGTAAAACCCGCAAAATGGGGCACTGAGCATCCAACACGGGGGTTCCCCTCCCAACCAAAAAAGTGGGTAAAAGGGCACCTAGCTTCTTTCTGCAAAACCCACACGGGGGCACCGAGCGTCAAAGAAGGAAACTCGAGCCGCCCACTCCCAGGCCATGCCTCGGAGAGTATCCGGTCTCTTCTCATGACCTGCGAGCGCTCTGCATTGCCGTCCGAGCGTCCGAGCGTCCGTCAAGCGGGCTCTTCGCGGCCAAGGGGACCTGGCCTCGTGTCCTCGTCTGGTGTTTTTGTTCGAAACAAATTCACCCGCAAAGTTTGCTAAGTTTGCTAAGTTTGCTAAGTTTGCTAAGTTTTGTGGCCGCAGATAAGTTTACTAAGTTTGCTAAGTTTGCTAAGTTTGCTAAGTTTTGTGGCCGCAGATAAGTTTACTAAGTTTGCTAAGTTTACTAAGTTTGCTAAGTTTTGTGGCCGCAGATAAGTTTATTAAGTTTGCTAAGTTTGCTAAGTTTGCCAAGTTTGCTAAGTTTCGTGGCCGCAGATAAGTTTACTAAGTTTGCTAAGTTTGCTAAGTTTTGTGGCCGCTGATAAGTTTACTAAGTTTGCTAAGTTTGCTAAGTGTTGTGGCCGCAGATAAGTATAAGTTTGCTAAGTTTGCTAAGTTTTGTGGCCGCAGATAAGTTTACTAAGTTTGCTAAGTTTGCTAAGTTTGCTAAGTGTTGTGGCCGCAGATAAGTTTACTAAGTTTGCTAAGTTTACTAAGTTTGCTAAGTTTTGTGGCCGCAGATAAGTTTATTAAGTTTGCTAAGTTTGCCAAGTTTGCTAAGTTTCGTGGCCGCAGATAAGTTTACTAAGTTTGCTAAGTTTGCTAAGTTTTGTGGCCGCAGATAAGTTTACTAAGTTTGCTAAGTTTACTTCGTTTGCTAAGTTTCGTGGCCGCAGATAAGTTTACCAAGTTTGCTAAGTTTACTTTGTTTGCTAAGTTGTGTGGCCGCAGATAAGTTTACTAAGTTTGCTAAGTTTGCTAAGTTTCGTGGCCGCAGATAAGTTTACTAAGTTTGCTAAGTGTGCTAAGTTTGCTAAGTTTCGTGGCCGCAGATAAGTTTACTAAGTTTGCTAAGTTTGCTAAGTTTCGTGGCCGCAGATAAGTTTACTAAGTTTGCTAAGTTTACTTCGTTTGCTAAGTTTTGTGGCCGCAGATAAGTTTACTAAGTTTGCTAAAGTGAGCCCTTGGCGGATGAAACCAAGAGAAACCGCCAACCGGATACTGAACCTCCCATGAAGTGAAAATCCCGACCCCGCCCGTTCCGTCAACTCATGGACCGCCCCCTGATTTTAAAAAAGAAAAACTCACCACCTCTGGGTTGGCGGTTCCCAAAAAAACATGTGGACGGACGAAACCCTGCACCACCCAAGAAACCCTGGAAAGATTCGATTCCCTAGTATTACCAACAAACAACAATGGTGTCCCATGGTTTCAATTTAGTGCAGGATATCATCCATCCACAGTAGGGGAGAGAATCCAGGCTTCCATTTGCTTTTTCGCCGCCGCCCCTTTCGTCGACTCATGGACAGCCCCGAAAGGAAATTCTCACCAAGACCTCTGAGTTTTTTCAAAACCCACCCGTTTTGCTTCTCTTGGAAACGGGTATGGCTCAAAGTGAAAGAGCTCGGGTTGCGAAGGTTTTAACTTGTGTTTCCATCAGGTGCCATTTTGGGGCACCAGTTTTTTGAGCAAGGAGACTCAAACCTATTCGCAGCTTTGAAACTTAGGGCCATAGCCCCATACTTAGCCGAAACTGGGAAAATCGATGGAACACCCCTGGAATGGTACATGCATCTAAACCAGTACCCATCGACTGCAACTTGCTGGCGCTCGGCGGGGAGTGAGAAACGGAATGACCCCGAGAAAAACCATATGTCCCCGATTTGGTGTCTTTTCTTCGGGGATTCCCAAACCGGTTCATTCCCAACACCCGGACTCGGGCATTCCCTACACCAGATTAGCCCTCAATTTATGGCGTCCTCCGTTTCGAGGGTCGAAACTTGTCAGGAACCCAAATGAGTCGCAATCAAAACCTGGTACAAAAATGGTGAACCCAGAACCATGTACAGGATTAAGTTTCTGGTCGGGATCGTCCCTTACTAACCTTCATCTACCCAGGTTTTGATTGTGGCTCAAATGGGTGTGTGTGTGTGCTCTGTTTTGAGGGCACCGGGTCGCCAGACATCGACTGAAAAAGGTGAGGCATGGGGATCCGGGGGGTTGATTCATTTCCGCGAAGTTGCCTGAAGCTTCTAAACTCAAGGATTTCACGGACAATTTGGAGCCTCAGCCAACACGGAACACCTTCTCAAAATGGGGCCCGGAAGTGCTTGGTGGATATAACCTAGGTCCCCCAGTAGTGCCCTTTCTCGCCCCTTTTTTGGCTGGGAGGGTTCCCCTACTAAAATAGACTACAGAAAAAAAGTTGGTACCCTTATTCTAACCTCTCTACTGGAGGACCTAGTCAAGGATTCCATGGACAATTTGTCCGTTTGTTTGATTCTTTCATTTGCAGAAGAAGATTGGTGTGATGTTTAAACCTGGTGGGTTTGATTAATCTATCGCCAAATGGAAGATCTGTGAATTGTATTTTGCCTAGTTCGATTTTTTCTGGGGCGCTATTTTCCAGGGGGCAGGACAAGTGGCTAGTTACCCCAGGACTAGGTGACCGCTCGGCAAGCGCGGCCACACAAGTCCTCCATCCAAAAGATGATCAAGTCACGACGAACATTGAAATTTGGGTTTGTCAGACACATATCAGGGGGCCTTCCAAATTGTGTGGATTCTTTGCGGCTTCCCCTCAAAATCCACCCCCCCTCTAAGGGAATTCCGCCTTTTTGTCTCTTTTCTCCGGAAATCCACGGGTGCCTTTGAAGGCCACCTGGACCCGAACATGGCTTCGAGCTTCCCTCTTGGCTTCCCCTTAAGACCACAGAAGACGGGGCGGGGAATACCAACTCCCTATACCTCGAGCCAGGGTTGTGGAATCACTCGGGGTTGATTCAACCGCTTCTGTGATACAAGTTGGAATCTCCGCCTGTTTTTGGGGGGTGTGAGTCTTTGGGGTTCCGCCCTTTTTGTTGCATCACAGACTCGTGGATTCCATTTCCCCTCGAACAGCCCTTCCGTCTTCGAGCGTCTCGAAGCCCCAAGAGGACCTCGAGACTCTTTCGGTGCACTCCCTCGAGCCGCGAAGCAATCTGCCCCGAACGCGAAGCCAACGCGAGCGGGTTGGGAATAGGCAGGGAAGGAGACATGGAATGACCGAGAGAAAACCATCCTATGAACCATCCAACCAAACCACCCGCCAACTTGCAACATGAGCTGTCGACTTGCAATCGCCGAACCTGAAAACGCGGAAAACCCCAAAGAACCATCCCAGATGGGGCATCCAGCACCCTTCAAATCATTCTGTACCTATCGCACCAGCAGGGACATGTCCGTTCGGTTTTCGGTTTCGCGCCTGGGCCACAGGGCTTTCGTGGGAAGGCCCCGTTACCGCCTCCACCTTCATGCGGAACCTCGATCGCCGAAAGCGCCGACGATCCAAACGGGAAGCGATCCGACGATCCCGCGCCCAGAATTGGCAGCCATCCAATTTCAGTCTTCATTTTTGGGGTCCCAGTTGCTCTCATAGTAGGTGATCATCCATGTTCTTTCAGCTTTTCAAGGTTCTACACGGGTACATGGATCCACTGGGGGTAGGGGACACTGCGAGGGGTTCCAATCCAAACCAACTAGGGGGCCGCCAAGTCCTTCCCAGTTGTCGGCATAGCCATGTGTGGTTTTAGTGGTTCTTCTGGTTACCTATAGGCAAACTAGGGTAGAAATGCGGCCCTTGGGGGGAAACCAAAGGAAACCGTTTGCCGAATGTCCTCTGTCGTGCTGTATGGTCTTGGACCGGCTTACAGAACCCGCCTGCTGCAGGGACCTCTCAAAAACGCAGGGCCCTTCTTGATGTTGCTCGGTCGAACAAAAAAGGGGAAATCCGCCAAAGCCCCCTTCCAATCGCAGGTTTTCAGCCCTCACCCGGATCCAGGGATCCAGGCCACTGGATCTGTTTCAACATCCGGGAATCGCAATTGCGCATCCCGATTTGTCTGGAAGCCGCCTGTTTCCTCTGTTGGACTGTTGTCCAAAGCGAGGGATTGCCGAACCGAACAGAACGGAAAAGGAGGATACGGCTAGATACTAAGCCTAGGTCCTCCAGTAGAGAGGTTAGAATAAGGGTACCCTTTTTTTCCTGTAGTCTATTTTAGCAACGGGAACCCTCCCCCAGAAAAGGGGCGAGAAAGGGCACTACTGGGGGACCTAGAAGCCTCAAAAGCGCTTCGCCGCTTCGGCGGATTCCGACGTGAGCACCGCGCGCAGCCGGGGCCCCAGGCGTCTTGTTGATTGAGCGATACTCGTCCATCCACTCGATCACCTTGGCTCCAGTGATCGGAGCATCCGGCCGTAACATACCCACCAAACCCCCCCTCAACGTCTGTCAATTGGCGTTCAAAAGAATGCAACAGCCTGGGTTGCTCTTCCTGTCCTCGGTTGCTTTCTGCTCCTCTGCTAAAAGTTTAACTTTTAGTGGTTTTACGAAAAACCCATTAGTTGGCAAAAAGTTAAAGTCCGAACATCCCTTGGCAAAATGCGTCCAAGTGTCCTGCGCCAAAGTGTCTAACCTTCGTAGGTTTCTTGGAAAAGTCACTTCGCTCCAGGTCTAGGGAGCTAAGATCACACCAAAGACATGCCACCGAAGGTGGCATAAGCCATCTGGTTGTGTCGTGGTTTGATGGTATCCTTTTTGGGGTGGGGTTTTTCCGTGTGTGTGTGTGTGTGTGTGTGTGTGTGTGTGTGTGTGTGTGTGTGTGTGTGTGTGTGTGTGTGTGTGTGTGTGTGTGTGTGTGTGTGTGTGTGTGTGTGTGTGTGTGTGTGTGTGTGTGTGTGTGTGTGTGTGTGTGTGTGTGTGTGTGTGTGTGTGTGTGTGTGTGTGTGTGTGTGTGTGTGTGTGTGTGTGTGTGTGTGTGTGTGTGTGTGTGTGTGTGTGTGTGTGTGTGTGTGTGTGTGTGTGTGTGTGTGTGTGTGTGTGTGTGTGTGTGTGTGTGTGTGTGTGTGTGTGTGTGTGTGTGTGTGTGTGTGTGTGTGTGTGTGTGTGTGTGTGTGTGTGTGTGTGTGTGTGTGTGTGTGTGTGTGTGTGTGTGTGTGTGTGTGTGTGTGTGTGTGTGTGTGTGTGTGTGTGCAAGGGGGGGGGGGTGGGGGGTTAGGGTCGTGGGCGGGTACTCTGTGTCAAGGGAAAAACACATATGGTCGTTGAAGGGGCTGCAGGCGGTGGATGAGGTGACCCGTGCGTTCCCGGGATCTGATTTTGGGGCACCTGTAAAACGCATGTAAGTGGGTACGTGTCGAAACAGGGGACCCCATCAAATGGCGGGGTTTCCTGTGGTTCTTCAAAGCCATCCATTCCATGTGGGGCAAGAAAGACATACCCGCACCACCCAGTGTTACGCTTTTCCCAGGAATTTCCCTTTTGGGGGAACCAACCACCCCCGGGTTTAAGTCTGGGTTGTTGGGCTCCGAAACGCCTCAAGAACACCCCTCAGGCAGAGGCCGAGCGGGCATCTGCAGCGTTGCTGGAGAGGATCCGCTTGAAGATCTCGCGCCTTAGGGTAACACCTGTGGATGGACAAAATCCAGTTCGCATCACCTAAGCCCTGGAATCATGCTTCCCCTGTGAACACCAAGCCACCATGGTTTCCCATGAGTTCCACGTGGTGCGAAATGGATTCCGTCCATCCACAGTATGGACCCCATTGTAGGTTTAGTTACCTTTGTGTTTGCCAAATATACTGCATCTCACTTGCTGAGTGGATGGCCCAAAAACAGTCTAAACTTGTTATGTACCACTAAAATGGTCTTCCCAAAAAGCTTAAAGTCCAGGAACTCAGGAAGTGAGTATACTGCATGATTTCGACCCCAAGAATTCGCTTGGAACCTGATTGGGTGGAAGACCATGCTCCTTTTCGAGGGACCGGGTCCCGAACGTCAGGTTGCATATGGTACCTGTTGCCGGGAAAGCCGAAAGTTCCTTTCTTCAGCTTGTGTTGGGGCGATTTTTGTCTTCACCCTCAGCTGAGCCCCTTTTGTTGTTTGGATTTGTTGGTTTGCTGGTTACAAAAACCCAGGGCTTCAAATCCCCAGTTCCCACCGATCCAAACCAACTAAGGGTAACCTGAAACCAGTCTTGTCCCCTCCAAAAAAGAACACGTTGGAAAGATCCAAGGTGAGTGAGTGAGCGTGTTCAAGCGTTCTCAAACAGGCTAACATGCTGAGTAAACAAAAACTTAAACACGTATGGCTGTGGCCCCCCTGAAGTGGAATCCCCAACATGGTCCCTTGATAAATAGAAACAAATCTGATACCTCCTGCGTAGCTCTTCAAATTTGAGGCACCCCCACATTGGTTCCCTTTAAACCAACCGTTAAAAGGGTACAAACACGCGCACGCTCACACACCTGAGTCACAATCCATACCTGGTACTAAAATGGCTTTCCCAGAGACGCATTCAGAGAACTGAAAAGGCGAAGGCACCCATTTATGGTTGGGACTATCCCTCATGAACCTCCATTTGATTTTTCGCCCCCCTGGAAAAAAATAACAAGATATGTCCAGTAGTGAACAAACATCTTCCCTTCAAACCACTGCAGCAGGGGCAACCAAAATGAAAAAAAACACACATTTCAGCAAACAAGAGAAGGAAAAAAACAAAAAAGATGTAGACAAAAAAAACCTTCCTCCACCCCGGGGGGATGAAATTATTTTTTGAATCTCTTTTCAACCCGTGGAGTTCACCTGGGCGGATTTTTGTCGGAGTTTTTTGTCTCCCCTGGGCCGCGCGGCTCCGCGAAGCGCTGCTCCAGCAGCTCGCGGCCCCTGGAGCTGCCGGGTCTTCGGTTCCGCTGAGTCGTCGCTCGGCTGGAAGGCTCGGGACCCCGGCAAAAACCCACTGCTTGAGGCCTTTTCAAAGGGAAGACCCGACATGGGAAAACCAAAAAGGTGGTTTCTAGGCTAAAAAATCATCTTTTTTGCCCGGTGGGTGGAAAACAAAGGGACCCCCAAAGAGCAAAAAAAAAAAAAGGAAAAGGGAAACTAATTCGGGGGAAGTTCGGAGATGGAAGTCGCTCTTGGCTCACGGGTCCTCTCCAGACTCTTGCCAAGCGGACTGCAGTTGACAAGGGAAACGATCATAGGTGTCCTTCTAGATGGCAAATAGATGGGTTTCCCTGGTAGATGATTAAACCACCAGGTAAACCAGGAATCGCCCTCTATTTTTCCACCAAAACCAAAAAGGACACCTATGGTCATAGCCTTCCTCCCACGTTGCCGGAACCCCTGGAGGGGGAGCTACTTGGAAGATTACAATGGGGCGCCATGTGGTTTCGCCCATAGTTCAAAGGCAAGCCTCCTTGTGAGCCCAAAGGAAGGGACCTGGACTTCTGGAGCACATGTCTTCAGAGCGGACATGACCGGCCCACCAAATGTCCCGAAAAAAAGGCAGAAAGGAACCCATTCGGCTGCTAGGTAGACTATTATCTGAAGGTAGGCTTTCTGAACCATCCTCCTGTTGATTTCCCAAGGGGCTTGGCCACGTTGCCACGTGGCACGCCGGGTCAAACCAGCTGGCTGCGAGGTGGACTCTTGTCTGAGTTTCTTCGCCCCTGACCTCATGGCCTGGGAACAGGTAGGCGGTCTGAAGTTCAACCTCCTTTTGCTTTCCCAAAGGGCTTGGGCACTTCTTTGCCACGCATGGGTCAGCCCCAAAGTAGAAGGAACCAGCTGGTCGCTGGGTGCTCAGAGCCGGAAAGAAAACCTAAACTTTGAACCCTCTGGCCCTCTGTCCTCCATTTGTGAATACGTCCCCTGGAACAAGACAAGAACATATTTCCAGACATAGATTCCCCCCCAAGAAAACTTCATTTCAGCAACTGGAAGATTACTAAGCTACCAGCCATTGTTCTTTTCAAAAACCAGCTAGTTTTTGGTGGTCTTCTAGAAAGATTCGGATCCCTGGGTTCAGAATGGAAATGGAAGTTACGCCTAGAAATATGGGGGTGTCTCTTTTTTAAGGGGACCCTCCAAAAAATGGTGGGGATTCATGTTGGTGTCCCTTCACAACCACCAAAAACAAGGATAAAAGACGCCTGTAAAACAAAAACCAACAAAAACCACCCCCCACCAAAAAACAAAGCCCGTGTTTCTGGAAATGGAACTTACGCCTAGAACACCAAAAGTTATATACGCCTGAAAAACACACCAACAAAACAAACAAACAAAACGCCCCGTGTGTTTCGGCGTCGCCTGGGAGCCTTGGGCTCCAAGGTGAGGTCCAGGGAGGGGTGCAACAGGTCCATCTTCTCGCACCTCGCTTCGAGAAGCGCCGAGCCTCCGGGAACGTGAGTCTTGGGGCGAAATCTGCGAAGCCCTAAAAGTTCTTTAACCTGTAACCATTTTAGTGGTTTGATTAACAAAAGCATAAACCCCCCCCTCCCTTACCCCCCCCCCCTTGAGACATGCTTCTTAATGTAATGCGGACAAGCCATGTGGCAAAGAGAAGTCCGAAGATCCCTTGGCAAAATTCGCCAAACATGAGC